AGAACCTCTTCGGCCACATTGCAGTTGTGTTTGGGTGTTTACACCAAAACATGACTCCAAAGGTAAAGGTTTCCCCTTGACATGTAGTCCAGTCATGTCCGACTGGTGCTCATCGCCGAAGAGCCGGCGTTTTCCGCAGATGCCTCCAAGGTCACCTTTTTCAATGTGCTGGTGGAATTGTGTCAGCTCAGGTCCTCCTTCTTTAAAAATTTCAGCAGGGATCCCATCAGGTCCACTGGCTTTGTTATTTTTTTGTTGGCTGATGGCATTTGCTTACTTCTTCCAAACTAGGCATTGCTGCAAGCTCATCTCTGGTTTGTTGTTGTGGGATTTGTGAGAGAGCCTCCTCGGCCACATTGGACCTGTCTATCTCTATCTATCTATCTATCTATCTATCTACCTACCTATCTACCTATCTACCTATCTACCTATCTACTAGGCCTGGGCAATCCATGGTTCTAAATGGTTCTAAAGTACTTACAAAACTAAAGTTCTGGTGGTGAAAATTTCAGAACTCTAACAAAACTTTCAAAATTTAATTATTATTTCATTATTGGTGATTTTAATGACAGAACCAATTAGGAACTGCCATTTATTATGAAATTTTGAGAGTTTTGTTAGAGTTCTGAAATTTTCACCACCAGAACTTTAGTTTTGTAAGTACTTTAGAACCATTTAGAACCATGGATTGCCCAGGCCTACTATCTACCTATCTACCTATCTCTTCCTTCTCTAGATATGTTATCTCTATTATCTATCTCTATTATCTATCTATTATCTATAGACACACACAGAGGAAATTTAACATTCCATGAGAGTATGCTTGGTTCCGGCCACAGGGGGAGCTGTTGCTTCACACTCTTTGATGGAGTACTTCCTCATTCTTCTGCATGCTGCTGGAGAGTTTTATGGCATCATAAATTAGTTAAATTAGCCTCCACGCATAAAGTGGGACCTAAATTTCCTACTTGACAGCTGCAAATGTCTTTCAGGCTTTTGATGAAGTACTTCCTCATTCTTCTGCATGCTGCTGGAGAGTTTTATGGCATCGTAAATTAGTTAAATTAGCCTCCCCACATAAAGCGGGACCTAAATTTCCTACTTGACAGATGCAACTGTCTTTTGGGCTGCATAGGTCAACAGCAAGCTAGATGGTTGGGAGCTTCGAACTCATGACCACTTGGTCAGTAGTGATTTAATTTCTTGGGATGGTGTCTTCAGCCTTGCTAAGCCTTCAATCGTATAATTTTATTCAATCCACTCATCCTAGGGCATCATCATCATCATCATCATCACCTTCTCCTACCTGGATGTTGGGGCTGGGGGTGAACTCCCACTTGGCCTCCCTGGACAAGGCGGGGATGTTGATGCCGCGCGGGATGTAGATGCTCTTGGTCAGTTCCGTGATGTCCTTCAGCGGCCGCTGGATCCCGTCAAAGATGGAGCCCATGATCCCGGGGCCCAGCTCCACCGAGAGGGGCTTCCCCGTACGCAGGACCGGGTCCCCCACGCAAACCCCCGCTGGACAGGCCCACGCTCAGGACAACACAGACACGCGTGTGCGGAGAATCATAGCATAAGAGAGGACCACATGGGCCACCACGTCTGAGCATGGATTCCAACCGCCATCAACATCCTTCTAGATGGCAGGAATTCCCTCTCTCTCTCTCTCTCTCTCTCTCTTTCTGTCAATCCATCCATCCCTCTATCTATTCATCCCTCTATCCATCCACCTAGTATGATCTATTTATCCATCTATCTATCCATCCATTCATCCATCTAATTATATACTATCTATTCCATCCATTTATCTGTCTGTCTATCTATCTATCTATTCATCCATCCATCTAATTATCTATCTATCTCTATCTATCTATTATCTATCATCTAATTATATATTATCTATCTATTCCATCCATCTACCCATCTATCCATCCATCTAGCCATCCATCCATCTAATTATATACTATCTATTCCATCTATCTATCTATCTATCTATCTCTCCATCCATCCATCCATCCATCTAATTATATATTATCTATTACATCCATCCATCTAGCCATCTAACCATCCATCTATCCATCCATCCATCTAATTATATACTATCTATTCCATCCATCCATCCATCTATCTATCTATCTATCTATCTATCTATCTATCTATCTATCTATCTATCTATCTATCCATCCATCCATCCATCCATCCATCCATCTAATTGTATATTATCTATCTATTCCATCCATCCATCTAGCCATCTAGCCATCCATCTATCCATCCATCCATCTAATTATATACTATTTATTCCATCTATCTATCTATCTATCTATCTCTCCATCCATCCATCCATCCATCCATCTAATTATATATTATCTATTACATCCATCCATCTAGCCATCTAACCATCCATCTATCCATCCATCCATCTAATTATATACTATCTATTCCATCCATCCATCTATCTATCTATCTATCTATCTATCTATCTATCTATCCATCCATCCATCCATCCATCCATCCATCCATCCATCTAATTGTATATTATCTATCTATTCCATCCATCCATCTAGCCATCTAGCCATCCATCTATCCATCCATCCATCTAATTATATACTATTTATTCCATCTATCTATCTATCTATCTATCTATCTATCTATCTATCTATCTATCTATCCATCCATCCATCCCTCCATCCCTCCATCTAATGAGACATCTATCTATCTGTTGGCAGTGAAGCAAGTGGAGTGTGTATGTGTATATCTATCTATCTATCCATCCATCCATCCATCCATCCATCCATCCATCCATCCATCTAATTGTATATTATCTATCTATTCCATCCATCCATCTAGCCATCTAGCCATCCATCTATCCATCCATCCATCTAATTATATACTATTTATTCCATCTATCTATCTATCTATCTATCTATCTATCTATCTATCTATCCATCCATCCATCCATCATCCATCTAACCATCCATCTATCATCTATCTAACCATCCATCCATCCAACCATCCATCCATATCTATCCATTTATCTATTCATCTATCCATCTAATTACATATCTATCTATCCATCCATCCATCCATCTAATTATATATTATCTATCTATTCCATCTATCTATCTAGCTATCCATCTATTCATCCATCCATCTAATTACTTATCTATCTATCTATCTATCTATCTATCTATCTATCTATCTATCTATCCATCCATCCATCCATCCATCCAATTATATATTATCTATCTATTCCATCTATCGATCTATCTATCATTCTATCTGTTCATCCACCCATCCATCCATTCATCTAATTATATATTATCTTTCCATCCATCTATCTAATTATATATTATCTATCTATTCCATCTATCTATCTATCCAACTGTATATCCATCCACCTTTTCCCCTCGCAAACTATTGAGCCAAACTCTCTATCGCCCCTCTACAGTATCTCTGTCCCTAGTGTCTGTCTATTATCTATCTATCTATCTATCTATCTATCTATCTATCTATCTATCCCTCCATCCATCCATCCATCCATTCAGGAAGGATACAGGTCTCCTCGTAGACCTGGATGGTGGCCAGGTCTCCCTCCAGGCGGATGATCTCGCCCACCAGCTCAAAGTGGCCCACGCGCACCAGCTCGTACATGGCAGCGCCCGACATCTTGCAGGCAATCACCACTAAAAGGGGTAAGGGGGGGGGGGGAATAAAATGGCAAATTATCAATAATTTATCAATAAATAAATCAATAAATAAATGATACATAAACATGCAACTGCTAAGGGGTTTCTCCAATAATAGTAGTAGTAATAATAATAATAATAATAATAATAATGCTATAATAATACAATAATAATAGATACAATGGAAAATAATCAATATTTAGTAATAATTTAAATAAATAAATAAATGATACATAAACATGAAACTTCTAAGGGATTTCTCCAATAATAATAATAATAATAATAATAATAATAATAATAATAATAATAATAATATATTAACAATAAATTAATAATAATAATATAATAATACAATAATAATAGATTAAATGGAAAATAATCAATAATTTAGTAATAATTAAAATAAATAAATAAATAAATGATACATAAACATGAAACTGCTGAGGGGTTTCTCCAATAATAATAATAATAACAATAATAATAATAATAATAATAATGAATTAATAACAATTAATAATAATAATATTATAATAATACCATAATAATAGATAAAATGGAAAATAATAATTTATTAATAATTTAAATAAATAAATGGTACATACACATGCAATTGCTGAGGGCTTTTTCCAATAATAATAATAATAATAATAAATATAATTCCATAATAATAGATAAAATGGTAAATTACCAATAATTTAGTAATATTTTAAATAAATAAATAAATGAGACATAAACATGCAACTGCTAAGGGGTTTCTGCAATAATAATAATAATAATAATATATTATTATTATTATATTATTAATAATAATGCTATAATAATACAATAATAATAGATAAAATTGAAAATAATCAATAATTTAGTAATAATTTAAATAAATAAATAAATGAGACATAAACATGCAACTGCTAAGGGGTTTCTCCAATAATAATAATAATAATAATAATAATAATAATAATAATAATAATATGCTAATAATAATATGTTAATAATAATAATAATATGTTAATAATAATAATAATAATAATAATAATAATAATACAATGATAATATAATAATTGTATTATTGTATTATTATTAATAATACCACAACTCACCAGGTCCAGAGACTCCGTGGACGAATCCCATCTCGCTTTCCTTTTCGGCATCTCCGATCTTGGGAAGCGCTTCGAAATCCATGGCTTAGGAAGGAAGACGATGACACGAGGGGGAAATTAATTAAACCATATCATTTCGTGATCYGYAGTTTTGTAAAGTACCAGCACTCTCTGCTATGGGATCCTTGGGAAACTACAACTCCCGGGGTCTCGTAGCATTGGCTAACCCCGTCCCTTTCACCATAGGAAACGACCCCCCCCCTTTAGGAAACTACATCTCCCAGGGTACTGTTGCACTGACACATGGAGGTTAAAGTATATAAATGCAGTCCAGCCCTTTGGGAAACTACAACTCCCGGGATCTAATAACACTGAGCCATGGAGATTGAAGTACAGAATGCAGTCTGGTCTATGGGAAACTACAACTCCCAGGATCCTGTAACATAGAGCCGTGGGGATTGAAGTATAGAATGTACTGGCCTTTTGGGAAACTACAACTCTCAGTATTCCATAACATTGAGCCATGGGGACTGAAGTATAGAATGCAGTCCGGCCGTTTGGGAAACTACAACTCCCGGGATCCCATAACACTGAGCCATGGGGATTGAAGTATAGAATGTACTGGCCTTTTAGCAAACTACAACTCCCAGGATCCTGTAACATTGAGCCATGGGGATTGAAATATAGAATGCAGTCTGTCCCTTAGGAAACTACAACTCCCAGTATCCAGTAACATTGGGCCATGGGGATTGAGGTATAGAATGCAGTCTGGTCCTTTGGGAAACTACAACTCCCAGTATCCAGTAACATTGGGCCATGGGGATTAAAGTATAGAATGCAGTCTGGTCCTTTGGGAAACTACAACTCTGAGATTCCGTAACATTGAGTCATGGGGATTAAAATATATAATGCTATCTGGTCTATTGAGAAACTACAACTCCCAGTATCCTGTAAGATTGAGCCATGGGGATTTAAGTATAGAATGCAGTCTGGCCCTTTGGGAAACTACAATTCCCAGTATCCTGTAACATTGGGCCATGGGGATTGAAGTATAGAATGCAGTCTGTCCCTTAGGGAAACTACAACTCCGAGATTCCATAACATTGAGTCATGGGGATTAAAGTATAGAATGCTATCTGGTCTATTGAGAAGCTACAACTCCCAGTATCCTGTAACATTGGGCCATGGGGATTTAAGTATGGAATGCGGTTTGGCCCTTTGGGAAACTACAACTCCCAGTATCCTGTAACATTGGGCCATGGGGATTGAAGAGAATGCAGTCTGGCCCTTTGGAAAACTACAACTCCGAGATTCCATAACATTGAGTCATGGGGATTAACGTATAGACTGCTATCTGGTCTATTGAGAAACTACAACTCCCAGTATCCTGTAAGATTGGGCCATGGGGATTGAAGTATAGAGTGCAGTCTTTCCCTTAGGGAAACAACTCCCAGTATCCTGTAAGATTGGGCCATGGGGATTGAAGTATAGAACTTTCCCTTAGGGAAACTACAACTCCCAGTATCCTGTAACATTGGGCCATGGGGATTGAAGTATAGAACTTTCCCTTAGGGAAACTACAACTCCCAGTATCCTGTAACATTGGGCCATGGGGATTGAAGTATAGAACTTTCCCTTAGGGAAACTACAACTCCCAGTATCCTGTAACATTGGGCCATGGGGATTGAAGTATAGAATGCAGTTTGGCCCTTAGGGAAACTACAACTCCCAGTTTCCTGTAACATTGGGCCTTGGGGACTGAAATATAGAATGCAGTCTGTCCCTTAGGAAACTACAACTCCCAGTATTCTGTAACATTGGGCCATGGGGATTTAAGTATAGAATGCTATTCGGTCCATTGAGAAACTACAACTCCCAATATCCTGTAACATTTGGCCATGGGGATTGAAGTATAGAATGCGGTTTGGCCCTTTGGGAAACTACAACTCCCATTGAGCAACGGCAATTGGTGGCAAAACTCCATCCCTTCTCCATCGCAGGCAGCCCTTTAGAAAACTACAACTCCCATGACTCTTGTTAGCTTTGAGCCGTGGGAGTTCAAGTGGCGTCGAGTTGTATTCGTTCTAGAGTCCAAAAAAGGATTGGGAAGCGAAAGACGAAGCATCGATCCCCCCCAAAAGATGGACAGGGGACCCCGCATCCGAGCTTACCTTTGGGTTTACAGGAGATGTAGTTTCCCTTCTTCCTCTCTGTCCGCACTGCCTTGCCTTCTGCTTGGGAGATGCGGTTTGGGGCCCCCAAGGGGTGTTTATTTATGTGGGAGGAGGAAGGATTGTTTACCGGACAGCAAAAGGCCGGAGGTGAACCAGTACGGCACAACCTGGCGCCGCTTCGGAACCAGTTCGGACTCGAACCCGGCACCGAGAGAGAGGTCAAGGAAGGGGAGTTGTGTACATGTGCTCATCTGTCCATCCATCCTTTATCTATTTGTCTCCTTGTGTTTCCACTCACCTGTCCTTCCACCTGTCCCTCCATCCCTCCCTCATGGCTCAATGTTATGGGCTTCTGGGAGTTCTAGTTCCCCAAGGTCCCTGGCTAAGGGCCCCGGCAGTGCAAGGGGAGGCCCACCTGCCGTGTGCAGAACAGGCACCGGGACACTTTCTAATTTGGGGGTAACATGAGAACCGGGAGAGGAAGGAAGGAAAGAGATGAAGGGAAGAAAGGAGAGAGAGTAAACAAAAGAAGGGAAGGGAGGAGGGAGGAAGGAAGGAAGGAAGGAAGGAAGGAAGGAAGGAAGGAAGGAAGGAAGGAAGGAAGAAGGAAGGAAGGAAGGGAGGAAAGGAAGGAAGGGAGGGGAGGGAGGGAGGAAGGGAGGAAGGGAAGGAAGGAAGGAAGAAGGAAGGAAGGAAGGAGGAAGGAAGGAAGGAAGGGAAGGAAGGAAGGAAGGAAGGAAGGAAGAAGGAGAAGGAAAAGGAAGGAAGGAAAGGAGGGGGAGGGAGCGAGGGAGGGAAGAAGGAAGGAAGGAAGGAAGGAAGGAAAGGAAGGAAGGAAGGAAGGAAGGAGGAGGGGGAGGAAAGGGGGGAGAGGGAGGAGGGAGGGAGGGAAGAAGAGGAGAAGGGAGGGAGGGAGGGAGGAAGGAAGGAAGGAAGGAGAGGGGAGGAAGGAAAGGGAAGGAGGAAGGAGGAAGGAGGAAGGAAGGAAGGAAGGAAGGGAAGGAAGGAAGGAAGGAAGGGGGAGGGAGGGAGGGAGGGAAGGAAGGAAGGAAGGAAGGAGGAAGGAAGGAGAAGGAAGGAAGGAAGGAAGGAGGGGGAGGAAGGGAGGGAGGGAAGGAAGGAAGGAAGGAAGGAAGGAAGGAAGGAAGGGGAGGAGGGAGGGAAAGGAAGGAAGGAAGGAAGGAGGAAGGAAAGGAAGGAAGGAAGGAAGGAAGGAGGGGGGAGGGGGGAGGAAGGAAGGAAGGAAGGAAGGAAGGAAGGAAGGAAGGAAGGAAGGAAGGAAGGAAGGGGGAGGGAGGGAGGGAGGGAGGGAGGGAGGGAGGGAGGGAAGGAAGGAAGGAAGGAAGGAAGGAAGGAAGGAAGGAAGGAAGGAAGAGAGAAGGAGGAAAGAGGGAAGGAAGAGCAAAAGGGTGGAAGGAAAGGGAGGATGGATGGAAAGAAGGAAGGAAAGGAAGGAGGAAGGAAAGAGAAGGAAGGAAGGAAGGAAGGAAGGAAGGAAGGAAGGAAGAAGGGAAGGAAGGAAGAAAGGAAGGAAGGAAGAGGAAGGGAGGGAGGGAGGGAAAGAGGGAGGAGGAAGGAAGGAAAGGGAGAAGGAGGGAGGAAGGGAGGAAGGAGGAAAAGAGAAGGAAGAAAGGGAGAGAAGGAGGAAGGAAGGGAGGGAGGGAGGGAAGGAGGAAGGAAAGAGGGATGGAAGGAAGGAAGGGAAGGAGGAAGGAAAGAGAGAAGGAAGGAAGGAAGGAAGGAAGGAAGGAAGGAAGGAAGGAAGGAAGGAAGGAAGGAAGGGAAGGAGGAAGAGAAGAGAGAAGGGAGGGAGGGAGGGAAGGAGGAAGGAAAGAAAGAAGGAAGGGAGGAAGGAAGGGAGGAAGGGAGGAGGAAGGAAAGAGAGAAGGAAGGAAGGAAGGAAGGAAGGGGAGGAGGAAGAAAAGAGAGAAGGAAGGATAAAAGGGAGGAAGGGGAAGTTGGAAGAAGGAAGACAGAGGGAGGGGAGGAAGAGAGAAGGGAGGGAGAGAGGGAGGGAGGACGAAATGGTGGAAGGGAAGGATGGAAGGAAGGGAAGGAGGAAGGGAAGAGAGAAGGAAGGGAGGGAGGAAAGAGAGAAGGAAGGAATGATGAAGGGAGGAAGGGAAGGATGTTAGGAAGGAAGGATGGGAAGGAAAAAGAAAAGGAAGAGAAGAATGGATGGAAGGAAGGTTAAAGGAAAGGGAGAAGGAAGAAAGGGCAAAAGGGAAGGAAGAAGAAAAAGCGAGAGAGGGAGGAAAAAAGGAGGGAAGAAAGGAAAGGATAAAGGAAATAGAGAAGGAAGGGAAGGATGTTAGGAAGGAGGGAAGGAAGGAAAGGAAAAAGAGAAGGAAGGGAGAAAGGGAGGGAGGGAGGAGCGAGGGAAGGATAAAGAAAAGAGAGAAGAAAGGGCAAAAGGGAAGGAAGGAAGACAAGAAGGAGGGAGGAAGGAAGGAAGGGAAGGAGGAAGGAAAGAGAGGTAAAGAAGGAGAGAAAAGGAGGGGAGGAAGGGAGGGGAAGGAAGGAAAAGAGAAGGAAGGAGAAAGGAGGAAAAGAAGGAAAGAAGGAAAGAGGAGTGAAGGATAAAGAAAAGAGAGAAGGAAGGAAGGGCAAAAGGGAAGGAAGGAAGAAGAAAGAGGGAGAGAGGGAGGAAGAGGGAAAAGAAGGAAGGAAGAAAGGGGGAAGAGGAAGAAGAAGAGGAAAGAATTTTTTTGTTTTTTTTCTTTTTTTTTTTGTTTTGTGGTGTTGTTTGTGATTTTTTTACAGAGACAAAAACAAGAGGGAGAGAAAGAGGAAGGAAAGAGAGAAGGTAGGGAAGGATGTTAGGAAAGAAGGGAGGGAGGGAGGGAAGGAAAAAGAGAAGGAATGAGTTCGAAGCCAGCCCGGATCAGAGTGAGCTCCTGGCCATTTAGTCTAGCTTGCTGTCGACCTTTGCAGCCCAAAAGACAGTTGCATCTGTCAAGTAGGAAATTTAGATACCGCTTCACATGGGGAGGATCATTTAACTAATTTACGGTGCCATAAAACCTTCCAACAGCGTGCA